ATACATAGGTATAAACTGTGACCCGAGGTGTGACACCAAAAGCACAAACAACAAAAGAATAAACAGGCAAATGGGTCTTCCCCAAGACTGAAAATGCTTTTGCTGCAAGGAAATGAAAAGGCAACCTGCAGAGTAGAAACCACATTTGCAGATCTTGCCTTTAATGAGGGAATGGCAGGTCTGAAAGAGGAAATGCCCAAAGACAGTTACATTGCCATAGAAAAAAGATCACCCTGTTTTAAGACAGGCACAGGGTCTAAATAGAACGTTCCCCAGAGAAGACACAGAGCATCTGAAAAGATGCCACACATCCACAGTCTGCAGGCAATGCAGAGCACACCCCAGCATGGCCACTGCCCCAAACAGCTGTTTTGGGCAGAACCTGTGGAGAGATCTAGATGCAGCCAAACATGCCACCACTTTGGAAAGCCCTCTAGCACTTCTCCAAAAGGCTCAGCATAGCTCGAGTAGGTGCCCAAGTGAAATGAAACACGTTTCCACTCAAGAACTTGCACAGGAAAGTTCTTGCAGTATTCTCCATCAGAGCTAGCGTGGAAGCCACCCAAATGTCACGGGCAGATGACTGGATAAACAAAAGGTGCTATGCCATGTGAGGAGTGGTACTCAGCCATGAAAAAGAATGATGTTCTGAATCCCAGATGCTGGCAGGAGCCACAGGGGTGTGCACTATGCCTACCCTGGAAAACAAGGTTGAGGAAGGAAGCCATGAAAATCCACTCCGCAGGATTCCATTTAGTGAGGTCCCACAATGGGCTTGAGTGGCTCCCTGGGATGGAGTGACCAAGGAAGTAGGGCAACTGCTAATGTGTGAGGAGGGGCTTCCCTTAAGGGCGGGCTGGGTGTGAAAATACTCTACAAGTGGTGGTAGTGAGCGGCGCAACTTCGTGAATTCACTAAAAGCTACAGAACGGTGCACTTTGCAGAAGATGAGCTGTGTAGTTTGTGAATTACAACCCAATAAAGCCATTATTTCAGAAGAATTATTAAGGTAGGCCTTGTGTTTCCACGGCATGAGCATGCATCAGGAAATACTGGTAATATGGTTTCATTTATGGCGACATGGTCCTCAAAACGTGACTTCAAAATTGTTTTTCAGCCTGCAGAGCCCTTTGTGCCTCTGTGCCCCCTCTCATGCCTGCCTTCCCGCCGCAGTAGCAATGGGCTCATCACTGGCCGCGTCCAGGCCCAGAGC